AGCATACGAAATGCAATATTGAAGTGCAACAGAGCCGGTTGTTTAAACGCATTAAAAATCTGTTTAAACGCATACAAAATGCGTTTCCACGCTTTTCGACGAAGCCGATTAAACGCGTTAGAACGTTGTTTTCTAAATTCACCTTAATCCCCCTTTTCCCAAATAGGGTCACAATTGTCTTGTTTTGTCAACAAACAAGCATGGCAACCCAGTCTGCAGAGTATGTAAGGTGCAAGCGCGAGATTGTTTTAACAATATATAAGTAATAAGGGCCTAAAAACGGCCTTGCACGCGAGAGCTCGTCGAGATCTGCCAAACTCTGCAGACGGGATGGTAACCTTGCATGTCCTCTTAAAGGAGTTTGAGTCAGGAAAAAAACCCGTGTAGTCGTTCAGAAATTTAACTTCCTACATTAATTAAAGGAATGGTAGTCTTTACCAACTTTCTACGCTTTCATGAGAGCCTACCTTTAACATATAATAACGTCCGGTTCAACCCAATTTGTGAACGCTTTGTGGAACTTTGTGAGCTTGTTTCCCGTTGCTGAAGTAGCCCATTTTTATACATGTAAATTAGCCAAACGACGACGAATAAGCCACCAAATGGTTAGCCGTTTAAGCCTCGTTGATGAGGTTCAATACAAACGGTGAAATCTGTATAAAGTTATAGCTCTACACACGCGCGCCATTTTCCAGGCGCCATCTTGGTTTCGTCTAGGCCCAGGCTTTACTCAGCGTTAAGAAGTGGGTGGAGTCGGAGAAGTGGTTGAAGGGAGGGGCACGGGGGCACGAGCCCCCATATTATTTTAAGCCAAGCTGAGGACCTCAGGGCCTACAAAAATTATTTTAGAACTGCGACTGCACAGAATCCATATTATTATCAAGGAAATAAGAAGTTTCCTTGCTTATGTGAGGACCATTTTAAGACTTGCCTTTTCTGCAGAAGTCAAAAATAAACAAAAGGGTTCAAGATTTTAAAATAGCATTACCCTGTGCTAGGCTCGCAGAAAATAAAACAAGCTTCCCTGCTAGCAGAGGCTTCTTACGGAGTTGTGAAAAGTTTTTATTGCATGACTGCACTAGTTATCTAGGAGTTTGCAACAGGCTAAAAAAACATCGCCCTTGCTTCTCTCACTAAACACATTCAATAAATACAAGTACAATATTCCTTTAACTCTGTAAATTTTATTTTAAACTACAGAGCATCTTAGGTATGCCAACAAGTAACTTGCATAATGTATTATCAGTTTTAAGTTGACAATTTAAATTATTCGCTGATAGCAATAAACTGATAAAAATATGAAGCTACAAGTACTGCTGGTAGCAGCCGAAAACACCAAAATCCTTGAATCATTAATACATTTACAAAATTAATAGTGTCATCATCACTTCATCTAAAACAGCTGTTTAGAATGCTAATACAAGAACTTGAAAAAATATTTAATATTTGGGCACTCAATTCCTTTAAGAAACACTTTTTTTATATATACTTTGAAGGCCTGTTTATACGAGGCCAACAGGCTTAATAAGGTGAGGTTTCCCACTCTACTAAACTAGCTTGGCTCATGCATTACTTCCTCATAAAATGTTCGTAGTATTATGTGAAAAGGCAGACTGGCCTGCTTGCCAAGATCTGGGTTTTAGCAACCAAGACCTTGTTTCAAGCAAACAATATTTGGCAAGAGGGCCAGCCCACCCTCATATACAAACATGTCAAAGCCTAACAGTTCTTACTTAATAAACAGCCCTCGCAAGATGCACATGTAGCAATTTGCACCCACTTGCCACTAATTTCAGCCTGGAAAGCTACTATGAAAAAATCTTTTTTTTTTTTGCTCTTGCTACCAGTAAAACAATACTTAATTTGTTTTCTTTAAAATAATTTGAGATTTGACTGAAATTCTTTGATGATACCATATTTCTGGCAACTCCATAAAATATAATGGAACAGTTTAACATCTAGGTAATCCTTTACTTTCTAAATGTAACAAAGCTAAATTTCAAAACATCAGATGTATTATTTATAAAGTTCACTCCTTATTTAAGCCCCTATATCCAAATAAAAATTCTCCAGACTGGTCTCCATACACTTCCTTGAAGAAACTTTGATTAACAGATTAAAGAATTTTCTCTTTGGTGATCACTTCATTAATACTCAAGACCTTTTGGATGATTATACGTTTCTGGGAAACTGCCCACCTACCCCTCCCCTGAACCAACATTTTGCCTACATGAGAAGTATGGGCAGGTAAAGTATGAATTTTGTTTGGAGAAACATGATATTAGCCACTTCTTGGGACTCAAAGGGTTACACCTCTGATTAACACGGACTGCTCAGCTACCTGGCCCCGGTTGTTCAAACGTTGAATAGCGCTACCCACCGGATAAATCACTATCCAGCGGATAAGTATTACAGAAATCAGTTACGCTATCCGCTGGATAGAGATTTATCCGATGGATAGCACTATCCAACGTTTGAACAACCAGGGCCTGGACTTTTTCTTGGGTCCATAACTGTTTAAAATAGAGAGATTAAGCATAATGTTTACAGCAAACGGCAAACATGAGATTCAAGGTGAGAAATTTTCAAGTAAATGGAAAACTTGGTCAGGTGCTAAAAATTCACATTTGCCGATTGCCATAAACGCAATGCTTAATCCCTCTATCATCATGAAGTTCCAAGGAATTGATGAAACATTTTTTTCTATTCAAGTGTTGAAAAAGAACTTTTTAAAAAGATCTGTTATTCTTTCTGAGAGAAAGAGTAACACTTGTTTGCACTGTAAGTATTGAGTAACGTAACATGCATGCAGTTACTGTCAATTGCATCTACGTGTAGAGGAAAAACACGTTGTTGTTCATCCCATTCAAACTTCAAGTTGATGACACTAAAATGTGCAATCCTTACTGCCAATCAGAACATTAGGAAATTTTGTTGTCTCCTTCCCTCACATAGATGAAAAGGACAGTACCCTGAAATGTGGGCTTGACCATTTTTGATGTGTCAGCGAATTCAACTTAACACTGAGGCCCAGGGGCTAAACACAATACAAATAATGTTACAGTCAAAGAGGGTGATGACTTCTATTGTCTTTGCTGTCTTTTAATACAAATAAAGATAACTTTAACAAGGCTGTGCTCTAATAAAAACTTGAAAGGAGCCCTGTCTTCTGAACTTGTGAAATCCAAGAAGTCTAGCATGATTCCTATGAAAAAAACTACTTCGCCAGCAGCAAAGAGTTATGCGCCAGGGCTGACCAGGCACTGCTAAAGCACAGCTTCGTTTATTTATATAAGACAATGAGACAATGCTTACCAATATTATGGTAATACAGTTGAGTTCGATAGTATAGTCGTATCTTGCTTGGTTTCAGGAGAGAGATGATTATGTCAAGACAGGTGTTTCTTATACGTTAAATTCCTTGTTACAATGATGTAAAAGAATACTTTGAAAGCCAAATGTTTGACCTTAAATCTGTTACCACATTGTTTAAGAACAAAATGCCTCTGGTGATGTTATGTAGTCCTTCCTTCTTAATCATTGTCGATACCATTTGACAAACGCTTTGATGGCGGAATCAGATGAGTTGGCAATTGATCAGGTAGGTCATCGTCATCAAGCTTGATTTTAATCAAGTACATCGCCAGCGCAAATTCATCTTCGTCCAACTGCCCATCACGATCAATGTCTGCGAGGGTCCATATTTTTCCCAGTACCGTGTTTTGGAGTTTTGATTTGACCATCTCTCTCTTTGCAATAGCACCAGAGATCTTTCCACCCTTTGGACCCAGGCTTTTAAACAATCTGTCATACTCATCTTTGAAATCTTCCACCACCCATTTATCTGACTCAGCGCCGAAAGCAGCTCCCTGGCAAGCCCCAGAAGCAAATGGATTATTGGTGGAATGGCTAACGGAGAATGCGCCACCCTTGACAGATGCCTCTCTGCCATAGCTGCTGTCCTTCTCTAATGGTATCATAGCCATAAGTCGCGGAATGTCATTGGCCAACATTCGGTCAAGGGACTCAATCAGCTTAGGTCTCAATGGCTGAAACTTTGAGAAGTCATACGTTCGCAACTGCTCTTTGAATTTCAACACGTGAGGGAAATCCCCTGGGGAGATGTTGTGCTCTTTCTGGATCTTCATGTAAACATCAGAGAGCTTGTTCAGTAGTTGCTCCTTCTTCTTATCTTTGCCAAAAACAGAAGGCATTTGGCTTTTAAGCTCTGCAATAACGTAAGCATGGACCTAAAAAGATGGAACCCAAAAGTCTTTTAGCCTCCAAAGTCTTTTAGGAACCAAAAAACAATGAGCCATAAAAAATGGGTAACAATTCCACACTCTTTACAAATACAAGTATTTTTCTCTCATCAAGCAGCAAAACTCTTGACAAATGTGGTTGTGTGGTACACTACAACTCAATACTGACTGGCTGGCATCAGTATTTACAACTAGGTTATATCGTATTGTACACCAGTGTGAATAAAATGATGATCATCATCAACATCATCATCATCATTGTTATTATTATATCTCTTGGCTTGAGTTGGGATGCCACTTAAAAAATGACTGGTATAAAACTGGAGCTTATAACTGATGTGGTTATGTTCCAATTTATTGAAAAGGGTATGAGAGGTGGGATTTCCTACATTTCTCTAAAGTACTAATTGGGGACACTATTTCAATGTCTCCTACTGCTAAATGGTCCTCTGAGTCACACAAAGGTCTAACCATTTGCAGGGCAAAGGCAGTACCTTTATTTTTCAGTTATTTTAAGACCCTTAGTATTTGTCAGGCCCTAGAAGTCAAGCGCTCTACTGCAAGTGTAAAAATATCAGCTTTTCAACCGGTAAGCCCTAAATGAACCCATAATTTCCTTAATTCAGACCCAAAGTGAAACAATGACCATTCCTTTCACTTTTATCACGGCATTTCCTTCTCCCCCAGTATTTACTGGTGAATATAATATACCTGCCAAGTGTCATGCCTACGGCGCCATTGTCACACCTGCGGATCAAAAATTTCAATCTCACGCCTACTCACGCCTGTGTTCCAACTTCTCATGCCTTAATCATTAAAAGAAACTGGAACCAATTAGAGAAAAGAAAAGTCCATGTGAATGATTGGCTTTCTCTAGGAGCCCATGCTTTCTCTGAATTCTCTTACTTTAGCGGGGAAAAGTCACTTCAGATGAGGTCGTATTCCTTCATGTTCCCATGTTCATGTTAGATGGAACTCTTCAGAAGGTCTCTGGAACATCTTCAGATATTAACGGACCCCTACGAAAAATCCTGGCACTCTCAGGATAAAAATGTCAGGCCTATAAATTAAAAGTTGGCAGGTATAATATAAGGGAGAATTTCGTTTCAGATCACGTGGCACTTGGGGCCTTCCTTATACCGACACTCATCCACGATGACATGACTAAACTTTTGAAAAAGAATGTTTCCTTGTAGGTCAGTTATTCAGAAAATTCCCAAAAGGACCTGTTGACCTACAAGAAATCACTAAGAATACATGTTAAGTTAATTTCAATAAATGGACTATAACAGAATACTTACCTTAGCTAAGCGAGCTCTCTTGATAAAATCATTCAGCTTTCTGAGGGCAGCGTTCCTGGGAAGTGTTTGGATATCACTGAAAAGATCATTGGCCTCGTACTCAAACAGCTTACGATTTTCATCATTCTGCAGCGGCTGGTCCCAGAAAGATCCCAAAAACACACGGGCAACTTCTGGGGTGTTTATAACTTTGCCCAAAGACCACATCAACGCACCATATACTCTCATCAGCTGTTGTGTTGTGACCATGTCAGCTTTGTTAAGCACGATTCGAATTTTGTCATCGTAGTCGCGAAGCACTTCGATTCCTCGCTGAAATTCGTCGGAAATGTCAAGTTTGTGAGCGTCGAAGAGCAGAATTATTCGATCGCAGCGCTCAGCGAACCACTTTAATATGCCCGTGAAGTCATATCCTCGTGCGACACTTTGCTTTTCTCCGGACAAGATACCAGGCGTGTCGATTATAGAAATGCTTTCAAGAACGGGGCTGGAGAGCTCAGAGCAGCAAAACCTGTTCAGAAAAGCATTCCCAAACGAGCTGAGAGTACGGAATGGCTTCTGAGGATCCACAATCAACGCATTTCCCGGAATTACTTGATCATTCTCACCATGCATAACAGCAATGAAACTGTCCGTTGTTGGTTCGGGACCGATTCTTAGGCCCGGAAACTCTCGCTCTAACAGATAGCGAATGAACGTTGTCTTACCCGTTGAATACTGGCCAACTAACAAAACCATGGGTTTTGCCACAAAATCGGGGTCAGACATAACCGGCGAGTGAAATTCATTGAAGAGATAGGCTTCTTCAAGCGGTTTCAGCACTTTGTAGTACATTTTTCGCAGGCCGTCCACGACCGAGTTGAACACTTGAGGGTTTTTCTGTGCGTCATTCCTTTTCATCCACGAGAACATGGTGAAAAATATGCTAAATGCAGAAGTTGTGATAACCTTTTTCTCAGACACGAGGAAATCAACAGCAAGCGTGTCACAGTGTGAAAGACTCGCCCCCCAGTCCTTCGTTTACGATCTCTTCCCAACAGCTGAACGCATGCGTACTAACGTTCTCGGAAATGCGGCTTGGGATGTGACGTCATTGAAATCTATTTATAGATCTGATTTTTTGAGGACGGAAAAGCATCACAAACGCTCATCTCTAAACCTGGAATTACGGCGATAATACGAATTTTATCAAGTCAATACAAAAAAACTTTAATTCTAACAAATTTTACCAAAAGATCTGGGCGACAGAATGCGAACTAAGAATTTTTTTCTGCTTTCATGTCATTACCTAAGAAACCATTCCTTATCCTAATGATCTGCAAAAAATATGTTTAAACTTCTAAAAGGGCAGCGTCAAGTGTTCAATCGATGGAAATCCAAAAATGTGGCTCTAGGAAATAAAATAAGCTAACAGTATTATGCTTAATACAAAAAAGAACTGTTAAAAAGTGACTGGCTGGTTTGAATAACGGTAAGGTAAGCAAGGAACTCGGGTCAATGTTTCATGTTTTACAGTGTCAATGATTCATGGCTAAAATTAGACGAGGTTCATTGATTATGCCTGGCTTGTGAAACTATTAAATATTTGAATTGATTTTTTTCTCTTGGTCTGACTGTTACAGGGGAAGGGGGTTTACTTTAGGACACGATAAAATTGTTTTGAGCAAAGACTTGAGTACTTTCTTCTGATACTGCTTCTAATCTATCCAAAGATGACAACAGTCTCATTCAAAGTCAGGGGTATGGTGTTGGAAATGTAGACTTCCTGTTATGGAACAAGCACGTATGGAATGGAAAATATTGCCTAATGGAAAACCCAATCTCTTGATAATCTCAATCGTAAGATCTTATAACTCTATTCTTTGTCGCCCCCTTGGATCCATATGCCAAGGTTTTATGAGCCCGCGAGACTGGGCACTTCAGCCAAACCCTTGCTTTCACTAAAACCGCTGGACGCCACAACCTGGTTGAAGTCGTTGTTATCTAACGACTTCCTCTTATGATTGTCCGGGGCGGGACCGGTCTCTCGTGCTTACGTCCCAGGGGCTTGCCAGGACGATGCAAAAGATGTGGTCTTTGAGCAGTTACGCCTTCTGGTAGAGGATGTTTGTTTCAAGTAAAATTGCGGAGAAACACTTAAAGCTTCCCGGATATCCTTCAGTAACAGAATATTTGTCAAAGCCGTCATTCAGCAACTCTATACCTAAAACGAAAATACCGTAAAATTCCGAAATTAAAAATAAACCCCGGGGCTTATATCTTTCAAAGGCCCTTTATGAGGGGCTTATATTCGGAGGGGCTTATCTGAAGAGGGAAATTTGCGTTTCAAAATCGATTGGGCTAGCCTTATAGTTGGAAGTAAAATTACCATTTTTCCTTTGTTCTACTTTGTATTTGAGGACAGTTTTCCAAGTACAAGCCCACGGGGGGGCTTATGTCAATGAATGAATGAATGAATGAATGAGAACTGTAACGTTTTGTAATGTTTTGCACGGACTAATTAGTTGAATTAGTACTTAAATTTAGACTAATAGCTTTTGCAATACTTTAATTCCTTTATGGTCATGCAAATAAAGCATTTGGTGAGTGTATCTTTGGAGGGCCTTATACATGGAGGGGCTTATTTTCGGAATTTTACGGTATGTTACTGGTATTTTACAGGCCGGAAGTGGACTTTTCGCCATAGTGGGTCAATAGGAGCAATTTTAAAAATTGCACCTATTTTTTGTTCAACTTGCAGACCGTGAGCATGCAGTCTTCCTTCTTTCCTCAGTCTCAGAGCCACACACCGCGAGCAGAAATTAAACTGTGAAAGGTTTGAATCCAGGAGTCATTTCAAAAGTAGGTTGAGTTTGATCGTCCGGGTGAACGTAGTCCTGAATAGGACTGTTGTTGTTGACAGTGACTGACGTTTCGACAACCTGTGCGGTAGTCATCTTCAGAGTCAAACAAACTGCTGATAAGTATCCGGAGGGGCCCATGAAAATGGTTTTGAGAGACCTTTACCAGAGCGAGATTTGGCTTAAAGTAAATTTCGCGAGCATATTCTCAAAAAATAGACAACCAGGAAAGCTCCTTTTTTTCACCAGAAAAGTTAACACGGTATTTTTTTTTATTGAAGGAGTTTAAGCTGAAGGAGTTGAAGTTAAGCTGAAGGAGTTTAAGTTTATCTGATCGCAAAATATAACGTCTGTCACTGTTTAATAACTTATTTATGTATACAACATTTTCGCTAAAACCCTGGCGTTGTATGCAGAGAAATCTCTCGTACACGTCCTGCCTAAGAACATAAAGGTCTCTAGTATTTCCCAGTTGCATCCTATTACACCCAAAAAATTTGTCAACTACGGGAACAATATATCATTGATCCGTAAGTCTGAGAAGCTTTAGTGTAGTATCGAACACGAGCAAGCGAGATGCAAGCGGATTTTTAAGGTCCTCTTTCTCTCCTCGCATCTTTTCAATTCGCGACATCCTGTCAGAAAATCAAACTTTGGTACATGCGCAATAACGGGATACTGTTCATTTTTTCTTGGTCTGTCGATAGCGAAAAGGAGTGCGAGTGCCTGTTGCCTAGTTTCTAGACCGTGAGGGCCTGAGGAGAGCTGTACAGAGACTAGGCAAAGACAAGAGTTGGGAGTCACTGATGATCACTACCAATGTGACGTCACGCTATACATCAGAACATTCGAGTCACGGCTCACCTCCTCCCTCCTGAGTGTCAGCAACAGAGGCTGAAAGTTGTCTGTAGTCTCACTTTTAGTCTCGTGACGGTGAACTAGGCACAAAGAGGACGGAAGATTTTTCCACCAGGAAGTCAGTAAACCTCTCCCTTCTATTTGTTAGCATATGCAGTATTTGATGCAGCCAGTTTCAAAAAACATCCAAAAACATTATTCCTCAGCAATAAATTACATTTATTTCACAAAATATTTGTTTTACAAAATAATGATAACGTTGCACACGACGATTATAATTTTCAAATATTTTTCAGTCACTTTCGTATCATCGTTGTCCATCAAAAGTAACTGATTTCTGGCATCTGAATAGTCGAGAAAAATGAGTAGAAATAATAGTTCTAATAAAAAAAATAAGCCTTATTTGAAAAATATTAAAATGGTTTCCGATAAATTCACACTAGACTCAGTTAAGAGACATAAAATATACCTTTCGCTTAAATCTGTTGCATATATGGCAGGACCTGAAAAATGGCGAACACTACATGGCTTTATTTTCTTTCGTTTTGAAAAATATGACTTTAGTAAAGAACAATGACCCGGGACGAACCCGAAATTGCTTGAATGTGCCATTTTGATGACATGTTTTTACCTAAACCAGTAACTAAAGTCAATTTTTCACGTTCGCAGATCCCTTTCGTTTGAATGAGGGGAGCAGACTTAGGGAGACTGGGTCTAGCAAATAGTAAAGGCTATGAGCCCACGAGCAAATGTTTTCATCCACGTTTAAGGGTGCAATCACCGAAAAGACACCTTTGTACATGTCTTGAAAACATCACATTTCCATGTGCAATTGAAAGTTGTTAAGTTAACAAAACAAGAGTTTGTACGGGCGTTCAATTAACTTCAAGTTCGTTTGAGCTGTCTCATTGAGTATTTCAAGTAGTTAGTTATCAAAGTCAGTTGTGGAAGGTCCTCGATGCTTCAGTCACTTCATGAATTGATCACCTATGAGAAGCCGAAGAGGTATATTTTGAGCTCTGCTATTTGCACTGTATCGCTTTTCATCAACAGTTTTCCGCCATTTTCTACTACAAGCTTGATCCAGTCTCCACCAGTCCACTACAACTACCTCAGTCCTTGGAAAGGTTTTGGTTTTTCTTGGTGATTGCTTGGAGAAAAAAACGCGACCTTAAAAGCAAACCGCAAAGCCTAACGTAAAAAACAAAAGCAATCAAAAACTACTTCGTACTGCCAAATTAAAAACTGCTTTCTCCATTTATCAAAAACGTAGCTACAAAAAAGCTTTAAGTTGGGCAGAGTCAAGCGTCCGATGGCTTGCATCTTCAAATCGTGCCCCTTCATTCAGAAGGCTTACTTATCTCGTCTTCTAGTTGCTTCACCTCTTCCAAGATATGCTGATGCTCCTCGAGCAGTTTTGTGTATTCATTGATATTTTTCTGGCCTATCTCCTCGAGCTCCTGAATAAACACAAACAAACAAATATTTCAGTCGTGAAAGGTTTGAACCCAGGAGCCATTTCGTAAGTAGGTTGAACATGATCGTCCGGATGATCGTAGTCCTGAATAGGACTGCTGTTGACAGTGACTGACGTTTTAGCCTGCGTGGCAGGCGCTCGAAAGGGAAGGGGAAGGGAATTAGGGCGCGAGACCACGCGCGACGGAGAAGGGAGGAGGGAGGAGGGAGGAGGGAGGAGGGAGAAAGGGGAACTTTCTCCCTCGTGCGCGCAAAAAAAATTCCCCCTTCCCCTTTCAACGCCTGCCACGTAGACTACTGACGTTTCGAAAACCTGTGCGGTAGTCATCGTCAGAGTGAGTTGTAACACGTCAGTTGATAGTTATTGACCTGATTGGTCAATTAAGTCGCCATGTCATTGGTTTTCTGTCAGTTAAGCAGTGATGTTATTGGCTATCTGAGAACTCTTACATGTCAATGGTGCGTTTCGATTTGTCTTGATCTGTAGTCGAAACGTCTAGTCACTGTCAACAACAGTCCTATTCAGGACTACCATCACCCGGACGATCATGGACCACCTGCTTATAAAACATTTTCTCTGCTGATCAATTAGTACTTAAGTTAACCCACCTTCTTGTAGACAGCGTGGTGACCGTTTGAACGGGAAGAGGAAAAGGAGAAAAAAGACGTAAGAGATTGGGATCACGGATAGGCGCGCGAGGAAGGAGGGATGGAAACTCCTTCCTCGCGTGTCGATCACGTTCTTGGGCGCCTTCATTCTCACCCTTATTTCCCCTGCTGACTTCTGCCATGCAGGTTAGCCTTTAATGTGACTTTTACATTAATCTTACACGTACTTCCAACTGAGGATGTTACTAAAACGTTGAACAGGGAAAGGGGAACAAGGAACGAAGAACGAGCACGGGAAACGAGAAAAAGAAAAATAGGAAGAAACGGAGAATGAGTAATGAAGTTACTGATGATAGGGTTCAAGTTAGCTTTTTCTCATTTTACCTTTCCCAGCGCTCGTTCCCATTTTCTGTTCCCCGTTTTAGTCGCATCCGTTTTTAAAACAACTTCACAAAACCTGATGACTCGGCAACAATTATCTACGGCTTAATTTTTCGCGCAGTTTGTTTATCTTTGTAGAGATTAATTTCACCGATTTTTTTTTTTTTAACCTTACAAAAATAATAAGAATAATTCAGCGTACCTTAATGTGCTTCGCAGCTTGCTCCTCACTCTCCACATCTACAAAGAAAGATCGCAGAGTAATTGGCATTAATAATCTTTCTGAATATTGCTATCTCACGCCCGGAAAAATTAAAGGGGACAAATTCACACACTTTTTCTTAGGCAAATACAACTTGCTAACCACCGACTACAATCCAAAAATAAGCGCAAACTTGAACCCAGTCGTTTCTCTGTACTCGCGCAGGGTTTAATGGAAAGAATTTGGTCAGTTCGCGGTGCATCAAGGGAAAACGCCTTTGCGTGCGTCAATTTTCCATTTCAATTAGCCTGTAAACGCAGACGTATTTCTGGTAATCGAAAATAGGTCTGCGTTCGCAGGTTACCTTTAAAATAATAAATAAATAAGTAGCGACTGGGTACCGGTTTGAGATAATCGCTTCAAACTATAGAATCTGGGAAGGGCGTGTGTTGCAGGGGGTGTTATGCTGAATTGCACCACGGGACTGTTGTCATGTGTTTCTGAGGGACGAAATTGGACCCAGTTTCCCTACATAACTTCGCAGTAGTCGGTGTCGTGGCGAATTGCGCTATGGGACTGTTTGGAGAGATAATCGCTTCTCTGATAAACGAATTTGGACCCAGTTTCCCTACGCAACTTCCAAGTCGTCGGAGTCGTGGCGATTTGCACTATTGGACTGTTTGGAGACGTTATTACTTCTTCGATAGCCCTTTCCCGCATTTTCCTTGGGTGCCAGAGACTTTTCTCGCGCGGTTTCCGGTTTCTGTGTGGCTTCGGCCAACACCGAAAATTCCCGCCGTACGCGAGAAAAACCTCAGGTGCCCAGGGTATCCCGCATTCCGCTCTAGTGAGCAAACATAAAGGAATTAGGTTGAGGATTAGATGGACAATTTCATACAAACCACTATACAGTTGAACCTCCACATAACGGCCACCTCTCCACAACAGCCACTTCCTTCTGTCTCCACAGTGGCCGTTGTAGAGCGGTTCGACTGTACAGTCGACTCTCTCTTAACGGACACCTCTATAAGACGGACACCTATGTAAAACGGACACTAAGAGTTGGTCTCTGCCTTTCTTTGCTCCATTTATTTGACTCTCTATAAGACGGACACCTCTCTAAGACGGACACTTAGTGCCGGTCCCAAAGGTGTCCTTCTTAGAGAAAGTTGACTGTATTTTGTCCACCCCTAGCCTCGAGTTGGTGCTTTTATTTACAGGAATGCGGTAAAGGTCTATTGGCAATTGCTGGTTTGCAGGTGACGTCACGGTCGCCATGTTGGTGGTCATGAAGCATTTCTTTCCTCTGAGAATTACTGAGAATTAATTTCAAGTAAATTCTTCGAAAAGAGCTTTATTGTATTGACCACCAATATTGCCGCCTTGTCACGTAGTTGCAAACCAAGAATTAAAAACTTGCGCAAAAACTGGGCCAAAATTTGTCCCTCCAAAATGAAATAATAAGCTGAAATCAATGCCAAAGCTTTCCCACCTCGTTTGTTATAATCGTATATCTCCACGCCCTGATCAATGCCTCCAACAGTCGTGAGACTAAAACGGATTCCTTTTGCTTCAATTTCTTCACCGGGACGTTCATCACCATTTTTTTCTGTCAGTTCTGCGGTCGTCTCTGCTTCTGCTTCATTCTTGTCCGAATTTCCTGGCAGAGCATTGATTTCATCAGCTAGACCCTCAGCCCCAAGACGGACAGGATAGTCAAGCTCAGAATCCACACTTTCAACATCCAATTTTCCTAAGCGTTCTTCCGCATCAACTTCCGAAATTTCTCTATTCTCAGTCTTGGTATCACAAAGTGCCGGCGTATGATTGGGCGTTGAAAGTTTAAAAGGAGAAGAGACGACTGGTCCGGGCGAGGAGAGAAATGGCAGCGGCATGGAAGAAGGCATCGAAGCATGGGGAACAGAGACACCCGCTTTTGTCGGAGTGGCAGCTTTTACTGCCACAGGGATACCACCTTTCGTCCCTGGACGACTGAGCTCCGGGATGTTCATAGGATTGAAGTTAATTACCGCAGGGGAGGTGTTATTGGGCGCATGCGCTTGTCGTGTGATTGGTTTGTAAGCCTTGCTACTGTACACATACGGAGCGGTGTATGTCGACTTTTGTTGCTTTCCCGCTATTGTCACACTGATATCTGATCGGATATAGGGAAGAGGGATCAAGATGGGACGCGCGCTGTTCCTAGAACGAAAAGAAAAAAAATTGCGAATGATAAGAGAAATTGTTGCTACCGGAAGACATTTGGCGGGAAACTGTTTCGTTGTACGATGTCATCGATGTGGCCTCGGATTAGCCAATGAGAGCTCGCACGGTTAAACTGCGTAGCAAGTGTTTCCGCGTACGTTTGTTGAGAAAGTTGGAAAGAGAGCAAAAATCGAAATGAAGGTGGGGATGGAGGGGAGAAATGAAAACGCTTGCCCGCAAACCCCGAGATTCGCGCACGAACGCAGCTTCTGAATGGCGCAGTTTGACAGTGTTGACTGACAAGCGGCCAATACCTCAATCAAACAAAGTGCGTGCATCTTTTCTCTCCTCCCCATACCACTTCTTCCATTTTTTGGCTCTCGATCGAACTTTTGGGTACTTAATCAGAAACGGTTAAGTAATTAACTTACTCATTTTTCGCATCAATTTCTAACCCAGGAATTGCTACAGCAGCTGCAGTAGTTTCATGATCATTTTCTGTTTTTTCACCACCATTGGATCCAGCGGCAGATGCTGCACCGACATCTTTCTCTTTGGTTGGTTTCTTTGTTTGCTGGGATATCCTTGGAGTTCTGTCAAACGAAAAAAAGGAAACAAATCTATTTAGAGCGATTTTCGAATGACCTTGAAAAATGGTTTCGGTAAGTGTTCGTTATTTGTGTTATCAACCAATGGATGAAGAGATCAAAGCATGGCCTTTTCGTTTTCCCTCAAAAGAAAACCCTAATATGGAGAAGGCATTATTCGATTGGCCAATCGTGTTGCAGTATGACGTCAAAGCGAAGTATCGATTGATTTCTAGAAAGTTCTAGAGAAGGAAGTTTTTTTCACCCGAGCGTTCCCTTAACCAACCAAAAGCCACGCGCGTTTGTATCCGTTCGATAACCCAATCAAGTCGCTCTATTTCTGTTCGCGCGTTTTGTTCGCCCGTTTTCATTTCAAGGTCATACGAAAATCGCTCTCTTGTAGACTTGAGAAAAAAGCCGACAGTTCGCGACGCCCACCGCTGCATACCGATGACGTGTCACTACCAGGATCTGGGAAGTGCTTCTGATTGGCTGAAGATTTCCCACGCGGCACGACCAATATGTCGCGAAATGTCAGCTGCTTTCTCAACAATCTAGTTCCTTTCTGCCAGATGGGGCTACGTTTCTAACTATGCTGAGAAGAACGCAATTATGTACAAACCTACCTAGAGTAGCTAATGTATTTGCAGTTCCACTATATTAATTATAAGCACTACTTTACAATATTACACTAAGTAATTGAGTTTATAGAGGGCCTTCACGTTTTCAGTCAATTTGTGGGATGGTAACTTACTTTCTCGTCCTTTTAATTTGCGATATGAGAGAAAAAACTTTCGCGAGACTTCACTTTAGTCAGTCACTAAACTACGAAAATTCTTCTAAGTGAAGACTATTAAGACATCTCAGAATTGGCACAACTTTTCATTCAGTACACAGTCACAATTTAACGACTAAAATCAGAAAATAGAGCCATAAAGGAACAATTAAGACTTCAGTTAATGAGTTATTAAGCAGTTCATTTCCAATAAAACACTAGTTTTATACTTCAAAGTTTGGGAAATAAAGAATCTAAAAGCGTGCGATATGTTGAATTTGTGTCGTGGATTTTTCGCGGTCGGTCTTTAATTAGAGACATTCTTTAAATCATAAAAAATTGTTACAAAAATGTGCGCTGTGATGTTACGCTTTCATTTTATTATTTTTACATCACTGCTTACCGAAGTTGCACAGGTGCTGAGGTGTTAATGTACTGCATGGGTCCTCTTTTGGTCTCTCTCCGACTTGGATACAGAAGACTGTGCAGAGATTCAATTTTTCCCTGCAGTAAATGAAATGCAAACATCACATTTTTAAAATAAAAGTTACTTTTCACTTAAAATAAGCGTGGAAACAAGATCCCTATATCACCTGTGACGTCATCGGTTCTAACTGTCAAAGACAACCTATGACATCAAACTTTTATGGGAGAAAGCCAAACCATGCCTGAATGAGCGCTACTCATCAAACAGGCCAGGAGAAAAAAAAATCACCTTATATTGACAACATGTCTTGCAATACGCCCTTTTTCCAAGTACAGGTTCACGAATCCACATGATGCTTACTGTACAATATGAGAGGGAGCTAAGTGTACCACCATACAGTCTGAGCTTCTGCTTTACGCCTTAGCCAGATAGCATTTTGTATTCAACACATGAAGGATAAGATTTAAAAAGAACCAGATCTACCCTTCACTAGACAGGTAGGTAACCTGTGCGGCAGGCGTTTCCCCAAGAGTTTTTCCCGAGAGGTGGGACGAAAGCTTTCCTCATTATTTTTTTGCTTTCTCTCTCCAACTTTTGTGCAATAACTCGATTGGGAACACTTGCTTCAGGGGCAAGTAAGTACGAAAAGTAACGTTTTAGTATTAAATGAGTAATTTCAGATGAGTAGGACCCCCAACCCTGGTCAAAATAGCTAGGACCTTGAACTGCTCATGCTTACTTACACGGCACACTCTCTGATAAACCTCCTCGAGCCCTGCAAGCTCAGCTTGAATGCTCTCGTTCTCAACATCTGATATAATTCTGCTGTTTTTGGATTTCAGTTCCGCTGAAGGTGTCGTCACAATATCATCTTCAAGATCGCCATCTGTAGGTCTGTTGGGCGGGGTTGAATACACCGTCCTTCTGTCAAAACAAAGATAAAATGCAACTCAAATTTCATTTCATAACTCACTGCCACAAAGAAACAAATATACAAGAGCATGCAAGCCAGGAACACTACGATAATAATGTTATTATTACAACTGGAGGTAAGGTAAGTTAAAGATAAATTAATAATAGCAGCGGTGCCAGCTCAACCTCGTTCCCGGGGGGTAAGAAAAATGTTGGTGCTAGCTCTGGTTTCACAACAGAATCCTTCAAACTGCACTTCAGAAAAAATTGCGTTTCAAATACAAAGTCAAGACTGCTCTAACAAAAATTGCAGAGACTCTGATCTAAAGTCAAAGTAATCAAAGTAATCAGTCCAGGGCCCGGGGGGGGGACCACTTGGGTATTTTTTAGGTGGGTATGTGCCGCCCGGGACTCCAAATTGGCACCCCGTTCTTCTAAAAAAAATTTCCCCTTAAATTGATACCCCGTTCTAGAAATGGGCCAATTTTTTATATCCCGTTCTAGATTTCGCCCTAAAACAGATACCCCGTTCTAGAAATGGGCCATTTTTTATACTCCGTTCTAGTGCGCAACAAGAGCACAACAGTTTGCTTGTTAACTCATTGAACCGTATTTTTAAAAGCAATCTGTTCTTGAATAATTTCAAATGGCTGCTTACAAAACTGGAGCTTTCGTGCGTTCGAAATATTATACCCCGTTCTAAAAAACGCCTCTGAAAGGGTACCCCGTTCTAAATCAGGAGCTTCAAACTCACGACCCCGTTGGGCGGAACATACCCGCATAGGTAATGTATGGGAGTACCCCCCTCCCCCGGGGTCCAGGGCCACCAAGTGTTGCTCATTACCACATCTCTCAGGGAATTATGAAGTATGATGGTCTTATATTGATCATTATTTACCTTGCCAAATTCTTCAGATTATAAACTGTAGCAGTAGCAGGGGGAGGGGTGGGTGGTTCAGTTGACCGGCACATTCTTATAGTTTTTGGCTTCGCATGCTGTTGGAAAGTAAAATGTAACATATCTCTGTTATCAGCAAAGTAAGGACATGTTTGCTTTGGCCCATTTACAGAGGGAGACGAACAAAATCACCTTGCCTATATCCAATAAGCTTGCCCAAAGTGTAGTTTAACATTTAGGTGGTGTTTACCGGTATTTTGGTAAAACTTTCACCAGTACGAGTTTCATACCCAAGTGACTTCTTGAATTTGTTTCATTTACATCTTTGCACTTTTCTCACTGTCCCATGACCAACATGACAATGCCAATATCCTAAACTGACGAAAATTATGCATCTGCTACCAGTTCGAGTACAGAAGAGCTGATTTCATAATCTCATCCTGAAAGGAAATTCTCATTCCAGTGCAGGAACCAGCTATTTGTCACTGTTGTCGCTATTATCACTGTTGTCACTATTGTCGCTGTTGTCACTGTTGTCACTGTTGTCGCTGTTGCCACTGTCGTCACTGTTGTTGCTGTTGTCACCGTTGACACCGTTGTCACTGTTATCTCTGTTGTCACTGTTGTTGCTGTTGTCACTGTTGTCACCGTTGTCGCTGTTCTCACTGTTGTTGCAATTTTCAGTATAGTCTCTGTTGTTACTGTTGCCATTGTTGTCACTGATGTCACTATTGTCGCTGTTGTCGCTGTCGTCACTGTTGTCGATGTTGTCGCTGTTACCGCTGTTGTCACTGTTGATGCTGTTGTCGCTGTTGTCACTGTTGTCGCTGTCATCGCTGTTGTCATGCACTGTTGTCACTGCTAATCACTGTTGTCGCTGTTGTCCGTGTTGTCACTGTTGTCACTGTTGACACTGTTGTTGCTGTTGGCGGTGTTGTCACTGTTGTCACTGTTGACACTGTTGTCGCTGTTGTCGGTGTTGTCACTGTTGTCGCTGTCATCACTGTTCTCGCTGTTGATGCTGTTGTCGCTGTTGTCGGTGTTGTCACTGTTGTCACTGTTGTTACTGTTGTCACTGTTCATGCTGTTGTCGCTGTTGTCACTGTTGACGCTCTTGTCACTGTTGTCGCTGTTGTCACTGTCATCACTGTTGTCGCTGTTGTCACTGTTAATGCTGTTGATGCCGTTGTCGCTGTTGATGCAGTTGTCGGTGTTGTCACTGTTGACGCTGTTGACGCTGTTGTCGCTGTCATCACTGTTATCGCTGTTGTCACTGTTGATGCTGTTGACGCTGTTGTTGCTGTCATCACTGTTGTCACTGTTGTTACTGTTGTCGCTGTTGATGCTGTTGTCACTGCTGTTGTTGCTGTTTGTCATCACTGTTGTTACTGTTGTTACTGTTGTCACTGTTGATGCTGTTGTCACTGTTGTCGCTGTTGTTGGTGTAGTCACTGTTAACACTGTTGTCGCTGTTGTCACTGTTGACACTGTTCTCGCTGTTGTCGGTGTTGTCACTGTTGTCACTGTTGTCGCTGTTGTCACTGTTGTCACTGTTAATGCTGTTGACGCCGTTGTCACTGTTGTTGCTGTCGTCACTGTTGACGCTGTTGACGCTGTTGTCGCTGTTGTCGCTGTTGTTGCTGTCATCACTGTTGTCACTGTTGTTACTGTTGTCGCTGTTGATGCTGTTGTCGCTGTTGTCGGTGTTGTCACTGTTGATGCTGTTGACACTGTTGTCACTGTTGTCGCTGTTGTCGCTGTCATCACTGTTATCGCTGTTGTCACTGTTGATGCTGTTGTCACTGTTGTCGGTGTTGTCACTGTTGTCACTGTTGTTGCTGTTGTCGGTGATGTCACTGTTGTCACTGTTGACGCTGTTGACGCTGTTGACGCTGTTGTCACTGTTGTCGCTGTCATCACTGTTATCACTGTTGTTACTGTTGTCACTGTTGATGCTGTTGTCGCTGTTGTCGGTGTTGTCACTGTTAACACTGTTGTCGCTGTTGTCACTGTTGACACTGTTCTCGCTGTTGTCGGTGTTGTCACTGTTGTCACTGTTGAGGCTGTTGACACTGTTGTCGATTTTGTCACTGTTGTCGCTCTCATCACTGTTGTCGCTGTTGTCCCTGTTGTCGGTGTCGTCACTGTTGTCACCGTTGTCGCTGTTGTCAGTGTTGTCACTGTTGACGCTGTTAACGCTGTTGTCACTGTTGTCGCTGTTGTCGCTGTCATCACTGTTGTCGCTTTTGTCACTGTTGTCACTGCTGTCACTGTTGACTGTTGTCGCTGTTGTCACTGTTGTCGCTGTTGTCACTGTTGTCACTGTTCACGCTGTTGATGCTGTTTTCACTGTTGTCGCTGTTGTTGCTGTCATCACTGTTGTCGCTGTTGTCACTGTTGATGCTGTTGACGCTGTTGTCGATGTTGTCACTGTTGTCGATGTTGTCGCTGTTGTCGCTCTCATCACTGTTGTGGCTGTTGTCGGTGTTGTCACTGTTGTCACTGTTGTCGCTGTTGTCGGTGTTGTCACTGTTGATGCTGTTGACGCTGTTGTCGCTGTCATCACTGTTGTTACTGTTGTCGCTGTTGATGCAGTTTTCGCACTAGCCTGGTAGCTCACTCCACATTCTATAACTTTCCCATGGCACATCAGACAGTGCTATCTTCAAGCTCTGAACATTTACGAAAATGGTCAGCCTCAAATTTTTATTTAAGGGTTTAAATGCAGCCATAATCAATAGCCAAAGAATTCCCTAGCGAGTTTACTAAACTAAATCAAAGCTCCAATTGATCTACTTTTTATTTTAAAATACAGTTAACTCTCTCACAAGAGGCCACCCTTGGTGCACAACAAAGTGGTTGCTCACAGGAGGTGGTCGTCTACAGGAAAAATCAAGAAAAGAACTCACATTGAACTGATTAACGTAATTATGTAAAGTTGTTATCTTTCAAGTAAAAATGAGGCAAATAGAGAACTTCTAATAATGTTTAACTCGAATAGCACTTGGAACTGATGAAACTTTGCACATAACATTATAATGTATGAATGTGACAATCCACTTTTTTACCTAGAGGTCGTATTACAGACATCTTTTTTGTAAGTCAACTGCTATAATCTGTCAGCAAACTTGGTCAGCACTATTCACAAATTATTTTTTGTGACATTCGAGCAACAGTTTTTTTACAATCGTATGTGATCATGCCGGGTGGTCACTTACCGGAAACAGAAAACAAAAGAATATATCAAACTTCTGGCCCAAAAAGTGGTTGCAGTTGCTTTGGAAATTAAGGTAGTGGTCTCTTACGAGACAGTTTTTGAAACAATTTGACTGAGAAACAAAAGGATTATTTGTGAAGTGGTCGCTTACGGGAGGTGGTCGCTTACGAGAAGTGGTCGCTATGAGAGAGTTGACTGTATTAATTTGTTACAAACCTTAATTTGTGAGGCAGAAAACCCTGTTTTCTCTGCAGCCTTCGGCAGTTTGAAGGGGTCTGGTCTCTGTCTCTGTTGACAACGAAAACAAAATATTTACCGTCACGAGGAGGCACATAGTCACTGAAGAAACTTATAGACCTTTCCTGCATTACGCTCCACTGAGCAAAAATAAAGAAATGAGGACAAGGCTTGGGTGGGCATGCAATTTCAAACAAATCACCGTATTTTGTCCACCTGACCCTCGAGTTGGTGCCTTTGTTTACAGGAATGCAGAAAAGGTCTATTCATTCTAAATAGCTAACTAGAGTTAGCCTGCGAGCAAGCTTTCTGGGGCACTCTGTCGGGCGGGGCAGGAAAAGGAAGGAGAACCTACAACTATGTCTCTGGAATTTGAATATTTGCATCAAAAAAGTTGATGCGAAATTCTGACGACAGTAGTAATGATGCCGTTACCTTTGGCGCATGTTTTTCAAATGTTTGTTTACATTCGCGCTCATTTCCACTTTCCGTTGATGGGCAGAAATCTGACAGCTCAGTCAACGCAGAGCCAAACGGGAATTCAAATTGGGGCGTCGGTATTAAGCAGGTTGGATTTAGGTAAAATGTAAGAGCTTTCTTTTCCACAGGGACAAAGCAAGCTCCTTAATAATGAGGAGTTCACAGTAAGCGGGTGGTCATATAGCAGTTTTGACTCTCTAAATATACTGTTAACCCATTCGCCCCTGAACCGCCGGTAACCGCCCGTGCGGATCCAGGTCCTTTCTACCCTTTGTGACGTCATCAGTTTTAACGTTCAAGGACAACTTTCTTCGGTAACTCGTGTAAAGTGAAGAGATCTTTCAAACCATACCAGAATGAGCACAATTCAGTCAAGGACACAGGAGAAAGAAGCAAAAAACCACGTGACATTGACCTGAAAATCTTCATGAAAATCTTGTTCCATTGCTCACCGACCTTTGCTTTCACCTAATCCTAAGATCCTACAAGCTTTCCTAAAAACTCTTTCCACCAAAATGAAGCCTACTAAATGCCCAGCAAGAGAAAAAAATGAGGCAAGAAAAGTGAAAAAAAAGAAGGGAGGAGAGAAAGCGAAAAGTAAAAGTCAAGACTGCTGGGTCACTTTTAAACCCAAAAACTATCTCGAAATTTTGCTTTCTGTGCATGCCCGAACTTCGCAAGCTGATATTTTGCATCTGGATCAGAAGGCCACGAAGTGTACAACCTGTAAACCGGTTTGTGGTAAGTTTTAGCTCTTTAAAGCACGACAGTGACCAGAAAACCACTCAACTAGCTTCAAAACGCGTTTTTCGGCAAAATCTCCAGGAGCGAATGGGTTAATTAATGAGATGATTGCAATTTTATTGTTTCTTAGGAAAATCTCTTATTACAACTGTCAAATCACTGTCTACAAATTAGCTCCAGAACAGTGACTTTTATTTGCTTTAGTTTTTAAGTTGGATAAAGCCAGCCTATCCAACCTGACTAGCACATTGCTGGAAAAATCATAAATTTTTAGAAACAACAGTTTGAATTTTCCACAACCTGCGCATTCTACAGAAAATAAAAAAATATTGTAATGGACGTATTTTTGAAACATCACAGCATCAAATGTTAAACTCACATATCTGTCATCCTCTGGTCTGTCTCTAACACTACAAAACTGACCACGCCCCTTAGCAAGGGGTGGAATTACCCTATGTGTCCTTCCCTTTCTGGGTGACACCTCATCCTACAAAACAATAGAATGTTATTAGTTTGTATTGAGATACGTGTACAACATAATCTGATGCCAAATTTATCTATTAAACATCACAAAATCATCATCATCACCATCCCTAGGCTGCAATCAAGATGGATGCCACTCTTCTTACTTCAAAGTCTTATTTGCCGTAGCTCTTTCAAGTAACCAGTCCAGCACTTCGGAGGCTTTGGGGGAAGTGTGGCACAGCCATTGATAGTTGGACCCAGGGAGGGGGCAATGCCGTATATGGGAAGGGTTTACAAGCAGTTTAGTGTGGGATGGGGAAGAGAAATCAGAGGATTTTGATCTCGAATAGGTATCAATAATTTATCCAAAACTGAATACTAATATAAAGTTTGAAGGTTTGGTTCATAGTCTGGACAGGGTGAAACTTTTGTGGTGGGGGGAGGGGCTGGGTTTCCAAATATTCCCCTGTTTACCCTAGATACTCTCTATATTGTTCCAAGTACTATATTTTCTTAAATAAAAGCCATAATTGGACAGGGACTTCCCAAGAAAAATGAGTGCTTGTTGGAAAGTTTCAAATACACTGACCACTTCCCTTTCCAGAAACAATGACAAGAATCTTGTTTAATGGGTGTGGCTCATGTTAAATTTTACCAGAGGGTTTTAAGATCCGGATTTTCCTCCATAAAAGGGTACTATTTCTAGAACAACAGCACCAACAATCTTCAATAACAACAGACTATTGATTTGAACAACGAGTTGTTCCTGTTAAACATATTGGCAACACTCAAAGCAGGGTTCATACTCTTTTGAGCTCTTCAAATTCCATGACTTTCCATAACTTTTTCCATGACCTTTTCAAGTATTCCATGGCCTTAGGTTTAGCTGTTACTTTCAAAAATTTTCAAACCTTTCCTAGTTTTAGCATATTTTTTGACCTGAAGCAGTTCAACAGAAACAAACTCTGGTATTCACCAAAATGTATGCCATTCACGCTGTTATTACACCTCTTTATCTTACATTACTCATGCTTTGTCATCCGCAGTAACTAATCTACCAAACAAAACTTCAATTTTCCATGACTTTCAAGGACCAAAAATTTCCAGGCCTTGAAAATGAAATTCTTAAATTCCATGACTTTCCTGGTTTTCCATGACCTCTGCAAACTCTGTCAAAGGCTCCTAAAAGGTAGCACAACATTCTATTTACACTGTACCAGTTACAGTGATATTATTGTCAATTCACCATCAGGTAACTAACTGTTACTTACCAGGCTTACATAATGCCCCTTTGGAGAAGGATAAGATGACCTAGTGCTTGGTGAAACGTCTCTTACAAGACCTTTAGGAGGAAAGCCATTAGCAAAATGTACTTGTCTTGCAAAAGCATTTGGGTTGCTGTCCCTCATCATCATCAACTGACAAATGAAGCTATCCACAACTTTAACTTTGCCATTCGGAAATTATGTCTATTTGACCCTGAAAGGAAAGAAAACACTTGAAACTTCACGACATGACACGTAGGTAACACATTTTTATTTTGAGAAGACTACTACAAGAACAAACTGATGACAAGTTGTATTTAACTGCAATCTTATAAAATATTTTGAAATAAAACAAGAATTAAAGTGCATTGTTAACTCTTATTATCATTAACAGATGTTATCTTCAGCAATTTCCTGAGTTTAACATAAACTGAGGGACAGTATGGATTGGATTTTTATAATTCCCCTTATAATATTTGGTTACAAATAACTTAAACTTTGTATGTTTACCTTAATCACAATTTAGACAATCAGCGTTTGTTTGTTTGTGTTTGTTGAAATCATTAAGATTATTACTCTACAAGCACGAGTATTCCCACATAAGTCTCAAATCAAATAACAAAAAGTTTCCTCTGATGGAAAATATATGGTTCTTATGTTGTCGGATTTTTAGGCTCATCTTACAAACTTCACCTGTGGAATTCGAAATGTTTCTGTCTCCAATAACAACTTGGTTACGGGTGTTGCACGAACGTGATGGTATTATCGCAATATGGCATCATGAGTACAAGATTCAATGGAGGCTCGCGGTCATGTCCACCGTTAAATATTGGTTTGATTTTCCACAGATAAGCTCAAATAATCCTGAAAGATTACCGACTTTCCAACTTCGCAACTTTCTTATCTGTAAAACTGTTTCCATGTGACGTCACAAATTCGATTAATTAGGCGCCAGCGATCTTTAACCTGCGGTGTATCAATGAAGGCAAAGAGGGTGTATGTAGTGGTATAACGAAAATTGTTACGTTTCCTTTCGTACGTTGCAGTCACATGGAATGGCGGGTATTTCGATGTTTAAGTTTCCATACCATTACTGATTATGGAAATTTTGCGTTCAAATTTCCCGGGATCCCTGGCCACTATTTCTGAAGCGATTGATTCAGCTTCGTTTCTTGCTATTGACGCTGAATTTTCAGGTCTGAATGTGAAGTGGGGTGTTGAAAACTCGTTGGATACTCCGCAAGAACGCTACTCGAAGCTCAAACAAGGATCTAAAGATTTCATCATCATTCAATTCGGATTGTGCACCTTTGCCTGGGATAAGAAAAAGGAATGCTACACTGCAAAACCTTTTAACTTCTATATTTTCCCAAAGGTTTGGAATCGACAGTGCCCCGATGTTCGATTTTTGTGTCAAAGTTCAAGCATTGATTTTCTAACAGAGCACAACTTTGACTTCAACAAGCTCTTCCGCGAGGGGATCTCCTATTTGCGGCCCTATGATGAGTCGAAATTGAGGGAACATTTTCTCGCGAGAAACGCACAAGATTCTTTCACTTCTGCCTCACTGACTTCTCCCGATACCACAACTGAAACAAGTGGGGGGTCCTCCCACAAGACCCCCAGGTCAGTTCCCCCGGAACATAGGGACTTTGTTGAAAAAGCATGCAATAGTATAGAAGAGATGTTGAAAGATCCGGAGGGGACAGTCACTAAGCTTCCTCCTTGCAATGGCTACTTAAGAAAGCTGATCTACCAAACTGTTAAACAGAGGTTCAAAGCTGGTATCCATATGGAAGCCGCAACCAATGAGAAGAAGGAACGCTTTATTGTCGTCACCAAGGTAAATGAGGATCAGAAAAGAAAACTTGAAGAAGACAAACAAGCTAAAGAACAACATCTTATTGAAAATGCTGTTGGATTTTCACAAGTTGTGAAAATGATTTCGCAGTCTGGCAAAGTGATTGTTGGACACAACATGTTTCTTGATCTACTTCATGTAATTGATCAGTTTCTGTGTCCACTTCCAGAACTTTTGGAAGACTTCAAGGCTACAGTCAGTGCAGTGTTTCCACGACTTGTCGACACAAAAGTCATGGCCAACACACAGCCCTTCAGGGATCTCATTCCGTCATCGGTTTTGGCTGATCTTGTCAAGCATGTTTCCAAGAAACCCTTCCAGAAGCCGGCGGTACTATTTGACCCAGATTGTGCATGGGATGGTGAAAGTAACGAGAAACCCCATGAAGCGGGCTATGATGCATTCATCACTGGAATGTCATTTATTTCCATGGCAAACTACCTTGGTTCCTTTCAAGAGCCTCCCAAGGTCTACATCCCATCAGACTCCACCCTGATTGTCCCATTCGTAAACAAGATTTTTGTCATGAGAATGGAGGACATCCCATATGTTAACCTGGCTGGGCCTGATCTGAATCCTTCACGTGATCATGTGTTCTATCTGACATTCCCAAGTGACTGGAAGCAATCAGATATTCTGGACTTATTCAACAACTTTGGATTTGTGTATATCTCTTGGATTGACAGCACATCTGCTTTCATCTCATTGGCTCGCAGAGAACATGCCAGTAACGTGTTACAAGCGTTAGATTGTGAGGGAGAATGCTACACTATAGTTTCATATGCTGAGCACAAGCGTCAACTATATGGTGTATGTGATGATGATGACGAGCTTGAACGACTTAGAACACCCCTGAAGAGGCCAAGGTTCATGGAAGAGGCTGGATGGAAAACTTCATCACCTAAAGAGATCCAGGCAAGCAAGAAAGACAATAGTGTTATCAGTGAACCTGAAGATGGTGAGATTGTTGATGATGAAGAATCATTGGAGCCTGTCAGAAAGAAACAAAAGAAAGAAAGTAAAGTATTTGAGGAGCCTGATGATTGGTAACATTGCCACTGGGGAAGAATCAGCTGAGGATATTATCATGACAAACACTCACTGAAGATGCTAAAGGATTATGTCCGGTTTCACAAAAAAAGAAATTAATTGTACAGCATAATAAACAGTACCACAAGAAAGAACTACTCGTTAGCTTTCATTTGAATAGTCACACCATAGGATTTCATCCACAGACTCAAAAGTTAGGACCACCTTGTACAGCATAATAAACAATACCACTAGAAAGAACTACTAATTAGCTTTCATTTGAATGGTTACACTATAGGATTTCATCCACAGACTCAAAAGATAGAACAGCATAATAAACAGCATACTCATGTTGAGCCAGTATTAAAGCTATTTAGGGTTAGCATTTTCCTAGGGCTCTAACGTGGAAACCTAAGTTGAATACTGGTTTAAACTGAAAAAACATTTTATCTACAATAGCCACTTAAGGATCCCATTCAGACCGAAAAGACAATTCCAAACTGTACAATATATCTACCATTTTGTATTGTAGTGTGATAACTATACTACCGTAAAGAACTTCCAGATAGCTTTTATAAAAATAACATTTAGGATTATTTATAGGCAATACTCTAGGAAAATAAAGTACTGCCCAACAGTTTTCATTCATTACAGCTTGTAAGAAAAGTTTCCTCCCTTGAGATAGATTCTGTTACTTAAGTTTATGTGTAACCTGTAAATTAGTGTGCTCTGGAGAGAAGAGCGACTGCTTTTTCTTCAGTGACATTATAAGTCTGTAACTTTCATTAGTTAGAGTTCTTAGTGCATAAAATATTTGCTGCATCATTGTAAGGAAATAAAATTGAAGAGGTACAAAGTACAAAGCCTTCAGCTGGCTCTTGATCTGATATTTAAGTTGATCCATTGTTTTACAAGAAAATACAAGGCTGCTGAGAAGGAGAATCTAATAGTTTATATGTACTTACCCCTTTTAAGCCCAACATATACATACAAATTCTCCAGATTGACCTCCACACATTTCCTACAAGAATTAGTTGAGAGAATTTGATAAAAGATCAAAACATATCCTCTTTGGTGATCATCTTATCTATTCTCATAACTTGTCCTCCAGGTTATGTTGTGAGAAAATTGATGTTGATCACTCTAAGGTCTTAAGGGGTAAACAGAGGCGTCTTTCTAGTTGAGACCATTTTTGTTCTCAGAGCCTAAGAACAAAATGCAGCTTTTAGGAAGGGGAGGAGTAGGGGTGGTAGCCTAACTAAGTGTTTACATAAGCAAGACATGCTTATGAGGGGTTTGAGAGAAAGTTTTGTATTTAGCTGTAGCCTCATCCAAGAGAACAGAACAAGTTATCTCCCTGTGAAAGTTAACATTGCGGTGGAAGGGTCACGACCAAAGTGAGAAAGGATAACTAAGCAATAAGTTATTTTTTCATAGAGAAAACAGCAGCTTTCTGGAGACGAAAATTCTTACTTGGAGAATATGAGGAAAAACATCGTGGTTAATGTATAGCCTTTTAGCCATACCGATTATATTGTTGTAAAGCACACATAAGAAACTTTACTGCACTGGCTGGCCACTATATGCCTAAACAGCCTAAACAAGGCCCCTCCTTTCCGTTAAATGTTTCCTAGTCCTCAGTTTTAGAAAACTGCAAATCTTCATTCTCCTCCGGTCTGTTATGTTTGAAAAGGAAGCCCCCTACCAGCATTTCGCTAATTGCCAAAGAGTGTAAAATAAATAATTATTTAGGAATAAGCCTAATTTCCTTTTTGATGATTCGCTGAAAAGCAATTAGTACCGAGCGAAAGAGCTGCAAAATAATTTTTCATAGTCGTGCCATAGGATTTTCAAAGATTGGAGCCACTTTGCACACTCTCTTTTATGGGAACACTATTAAATGATACTGTTTCAGCATTAGAAAAAACGGATATAATCGCCAGATTTAGCTGATTCAAAATGGCTATTATGGCTCCAAGAAAATTGTTCATAAATATTTCCTGTCACTCGTGGCCGAAGTTTTTAAGTGTTAAAACCATTATTCCTAATTTTTAAGCATTTTTTTAAAGAAAAAAAACTGAGTAATTTCCACAAACAAAAACTGTATATGATAGGGCCTGGCCGGCTTGTTTTCGCTGTGTTCTTCTGTCCTTCTCGTTTTACAAGTCTGCAGTGTTCGTAAGCCTAGTTTAGTCGCTTGCGAAAGATTCGATTATCAAAGATGGCAGTGCTTTTGTACTTTAGAAAATCAAGGGTACCAGGTCGATCGCGCCGTTGTCTTTTTTATTATCTTCGAATCTGATTGGTTCTGAGCAGCCTTCACCTATTCTAACTAATTTCCAGAGGCAGCAGCAGAAGTCTCCGATATCACCTTTCCAGTTAGAATAAGCTAATTGTAATTGGACAGGTAAAAAAAACAAATTTATTAGCCAGTGAGGTTTAACGACTTAGCCCATGTTAACCAATCACAATCAAGGGGAAAAAATTGAGTGGGCAGGTTGCCCAGCTTCAGTTTGAGAACAAATTGATTGAAATAAACTAATCCGAAGTAAAGACAATGAGTTTGCCTTTATCAGCTAGATATTAGTTATCAATTCAAAAACAAAAGAAAACGATGCAGCTGCTTAGTTTAGAGCAGAACAACTCGAGCTTTAAGCAAACAGTGCCGGATCCAGCGGAGGGGCCTGGGAGGCGTGGCCCCTCTTATTTTTGGACCAAACTGAGGCCCAAAGGGCCGAAAAAAATTCTTGGGTGAACCTGCCACCCCCCTGCCCTTATCTAAGGGTCTGGATGACCGCCCCCCGTCCCTTATCTCAAGGTCTGGATACGGCACTGGCAAATGTAACAAGAATTTTTATACGTACTTCAAATATAGCTTAAGCGAGTTTCTTGCATTTTGTTGTTGACACAGTTAATTGATATGGGACTTCGTGTCATCCAATTCAGGCGTAATCGTGCTCGTTAATCCAAATATGCCTTGTGCAACACGTTCGTCTGATCTACAATTACTCGTCAGATTACTTCCTGAATTGCACTTCAGTCAGTCATATTACCATTAATATACTAATCTCGCACCCAAACTTCGTCACGTTTGCTAGTGGATTCACCGACTGTAAGAAGTGTGCGAACTTAATTATTAATAACTGATACTATTTTATAATTAGGAGCAAACGAAAAAAATTGAGAGTTACACTGTCTGTATGTGTACAGAAAAATGATCTTGATAAACTTCTCGTTACGAATGTTTTCTAACATTTTCGGCACATGGAATGGCCGTACTGTACTTTACTTAACGAAATTTCTATGGAGCGCTTGTCTATGTACCGAAATTTCAAGGAGACATTTTTTAACAGTATTGTACAGCATCTTGATAATTAAATATGAAAAACACAAGCTCCGAAAATCGTAGAAAAATGAGTAGCAAAACTCCAAATTTGTTAGACAAATGAAACGGTTATCCAGAAGTCAGTTTATTGCCTTTCTCGTGTTTTAGAAATTTCTACGCAACACAGTATCTGCTTTTTCAAACAGGTCAGATCAGTTTTACAGAAAAAAGCCATTGGGTGAAATATTACTAAAAGTGAACCTTAAGCTCGATGGAGATGTAATGGTGATTTTTGAGCCTGGTGAATATATGAAAACGTTTTTTCAGTCAGTGACACAGGCGGCTCGAAAGGAAAAAATACTTCCAAGAAGAGTCGAACCCATAACTTTCTGGTTACTAGAGTCCAGAATCTGCACTAATAACCAAAAGGTAGCTTGTGTACAGACCCCCCCTCCTCCCCTCAGGAACAATCGGAGAACGCGGTCAATCAGTCTCAAATCCTTCTCCGATTTTTCCTGAGGCGAGGGGAGGTCTGTACACAGGCTACCAGAAGGTCCTTAGGTTTGAATCCTATTGGGAGTACTCAGATTTTTTCTTCCAAGCTGCCTGTGTCACTGACTAAAAAACAAACATCTTCCTCGTTATGAACCTTGTGTCATATCGGGTCTTATCATGGGACAAAGATCCCCTGGGAACAGACCAACAGTAGCCTGTTCACAGACGCTGAGGATTTATTGACCGCTAGCGAAAGGGGGTTGGTGTGGGGGAAAAGATTGCCTAGTCCGTAGGCCTCATGATTGTGCGCGGTCGATGCGTTTCGGGTCACTTGGTCCGAGCTAGCCTTTCGTCTCGGATACGTCACCGAAGTGCATTGACCGAAGGACTAGGAAAGGGAAAAGAGAAAATAGACTTTAGACTTTGTTCCTCTTTTTCGCGCTTCGCCCTCGTTCTCTCGCTCTCGCTAGCGTGCTCGTCGATTTTCGAAAAAAATAGAAAACAACATATGTGTACAGGCTAGACCAACAGTTCTTGGTATATCTCACTGCAGGTTTCACTAATCTCAACGCTTCTCAGAGCCTTGTCGGGTATCTTCAAGTAAGTGGACCAAAGTTCCACAGAAATCTCTGCCTCCCGGAAAAAAGGAAAGAATGGTTGAGTAATTTTGCAAGTAAGCATTACCATTACCATTATTATACTAATCTCGCACCCAAACTTCGTCACATTTGCTAGTGGATTCACCGACTGTAAGAGGTCTGCGAACTTTATTGTTAATAATTGATCCTATTTTATAATTAGTAGCAAAACGCGAAAAACCTGACAGTTGCACTGTCTGTATTTGTACGGAAAAATAATGTTGATAAACTTCTCCTTACGAATGTTTTCTTTTGTAACATTTCCGGGAGAGCAAGATAGCCCATTTTCCCCTATCACGGAGTCATCCTTGTAATAATACAGTAAAGAATATTTAAACGTGATTGTCATTCATTGAAAAAAAAAACAACTCTGAGAAACATATTTTTCCGAGAAAATGACCCACTCAATTTGAGGACAATGAAGTAGATGTCTTACGCCAGTGCGTTGCCTTGACGCCTGGCGTGTGATTGGTTAACTTGGTTGAAGAGGACCAAGCTTGGTTTGGGGCTAATGACCCATGGCAAGCAGAAGCGGGATTAAAAACGTGGCTGTGAGAATTTGTCGAAAGTGTAAGCAGCTACGTTTTTTCATTGATCTCTGTGCTTGCGAACAGTATGTCTAAGTTCTCAAGAAAACGGCCACATCCTTCAAATGAAAGTGCGCGAAAACACAGTGGAGGGGAACAATTTGATCTTCTACCCACTGACAAGAGATGCAAAATATTCGCCGTGACTTTCGATTTCTACACTCCTAGAGCTCATTTTATCATTGTGCCCCGCAGAATGTTTCCTGTCCCGGAAAATTATAATGCTCTTGATCAAACAACCAGGCTAAGGGTTGTCGCGACAGCAAAGGCCATGGTCTCTCACTACGGGCTTGAAAAGTCGGCTATTTTATCTGTCCATTTTGGGTCATGGTTGACAACAAAGGATAGGTTTCATGTCCATGTTTGCGTAGACCTGGATGATTATCTTCGCGTTTTTGAGACGAAAGAGGAAGAAATCCCTGAATGGCCCTCGAGAAAGTACGTTACGAGGCAATGGAAAGCAAGGCAAGACCCTAACTACTATGAGATTAATGTTCGTGGGTATCCCTTCCGGACATATTTCAAGGAAGAGCTTGCAGATATCCGAAATTTAAAATCGCAACATTTGAGTTCCACTGGAGCCTTAGCCGTCGCGCAAACGCTTTGCATTCTCTACCACCCATCAGAACCAAAGGTTGGATTTGCTGTTGAGGAGTCAAAAAAGTCTAATACAGATGAGTTCCTCCTTGAAGTCCAAGAAGCCATAATCAATTTTGCAACCACAAGCAATCTCACTAACATACACGCCAGAGATGACTACGGTGGATGCCATGTGTGTTTGATTCTCGATGGAAAGGCACATGGTTAGTTCCATTTTTTGTGAATAGTTTTAAGGAAGCTAAACACATGAGGTTTTTTGTAATGTCCTTTTCTTTCTTATTTCCTTTCACTTGCGCAATGAGCACTGAAAGCGACCCGATTAAATTTAATCTAATGTATGACTTTCGCGGTTTTTTTTTTTTTTGAGACTACGAGAGGGCAGATGCTAATTTTTTTCTTTTTGTTTGGTTTTTGGACCAGTCCTTATTATAAGCGTTTGGCGCTCCAAATAACCGAATCGATCATTCACTTTAAAGCTCAAAAGGGTGGAACTTATGCAGTTTTATTTTTTGAGTACTAACTAGCAGTATAAGACAGTATGGACTTCGAATAATATGTCTAAACAAGGTCATGTTATGTTTGACCAATGGAAGTTATTTTATCTCTCACCCTGAAAAGGTGGATTTCACGTTCAATTCAGATTCAACAACGTTTACCACTAACGTTGAATGGCCTATTTGAACATTCGACATGAGTTAACATAACATAATGATTCACATGTTTTAGTCAAAAACCCTGAACATTTAATGGGAATCTCCCTGCTTTAGAAACCTGTTTGGTTAATTTGGAGCTGCCCTAAAAGCTATTTATCTGTTCAGATGTTTAAGGGGAACTTTGGTCATCTCAAAAGTTTAAGGTGGCTTTTTCGTCTCATCCGAAACTGTTAACTACCTTGATGGGTCCGGTCGAAAGTTACAACATCAACGAGCCTTATTTGCATGACCATACAAACACATACAGTATTGCAAAAGCTATGTTTAGGAATCAAAATTACAACACAGGAAAATTACGTTTCTTTGATAATAATTTGTCACGAACATCAAAACAAGCTGAAATATATTTTATGAATTGTATATTGATAAAGTAATTAGAAGAGTTCATCAGTTCATTGATCAAAACGTTTATAGTTAGCTGAGTAATATTTGGAATCAGAGTCTTGACTTTATAGTAAAATTTGTTCCTAATCATAGAGTATGTAGGACATTGAAAAAGAAAGTAAACTTCGCCTTCTATTACATTGCATCCACAAAAAGGGCAATGCCTATTATCCTTCGTTAAGTTAAGCACATGGAGTGGTCGTACTGTACGTTACTTAACGAAATTTCTATGGAGCGCTTGTCTGTGTACCGAAATTTCAAGGAGGAATTTTTTAACGGTAATTACAGTATCTTGATAATTAAATATGAAAAACACAAGCTCCTAAAATCATAGAAAAATGAGTAGCAAAAACTCCAAATTTGTTAGACAAATGAAACGGTTATCCAGAAGTCAGTTTACAGCCTTCAGTCTCGTGTTTTAGAAATTTCTACGCAACACAGTATCTGCTTTATCAAACAGGTCAGATCAGTTTTACAGAAAAAAGCCGTTGGGTGAAATATTACTAAAAATGAACCTCAAGCTTGATGGAGATATAATGGTGAATTTTGAGCCTGGTGAATATATGAGAATGTTTTTTCTGTCAGTGACAAGGGTGGCTCGAAAGGAAAAAGTACTTCCAATAAGAGTCGAACCCATAACTTTCTGGTTACTAGAGTCCAGAATCTGCACTAATAACCAAAAGGTAGCTTGTGTACAGATCCCCCCCCCTCCCCTCCCTCCCCTCAGGAAAAATCGAAGAAGGACTAGGCAAGGGAAAAGAGAAAATAGGCTTTAGACTTTGTTCCCCTTTTTCGCGCTTCGCCCTCGTTCTCTCGCTCTCGCTCGCGTGCTCGTCGATTTTCGAAAAAAATAGAAAACAACATATGTGTACAGGCTAGACCAACAGTTCTTGGTATATCTCACTGCAGGTTTCACTGATCTCAACGATTCTCAGAGCCTTGTCGGGTATCTTCAAGTAAGTGGACCAAAGTTCTACAGAGATCTCTGCCCCCCGGAAAAAAGGAAAGAGTGGTTGAGTAACTTTGCAAGTAAGCAAGATTACAAGGTCTACACTTGACTGACAAAAATTAAAACGACAATGCCAGTCAGCTCTGACCAAGTACAAAGATTGAACGTTTTAATAGTTAACGCGTTTAGTTCAAGTGAATTAGCCATTAGTTATAAAAAACTTGGATTCTGTTTTCGTACTAAATTTCAGCTTTGTATAATGCTAAATTGTTTGACGGACTAGTAAAACTTCGTTTTTAGCCAGCATGAGTGATTTTGCTACAACTAACTGAATTTGTTGCAACAAGAGAGAATGAGCTAAACTGTCTCAGCTGCAAACACTACAATAGTAGTGTTAGTAAGTTTTAAACTTGTTTTGGACGTAAACCAAGCGAGTATTATCCTTAGCTCCTCAACTCTGCTATCGAAATTGGTGATGTGGTGGCTTTTAATTAAGTTTTTTTTAAGTTCTTAGATCGTTTTCAAAAGATTGTTATGACATCGTCTAAGGTCTGTTAGGACCATTCCAGGGTAAAACATATTTTGGCTTTATTTTTTTTACGAGTAGTAACAGAAGTAAATGTACTCCATAATATTTGAAACACCTGTAAATGAAATAAACCGTAACAGTTAAAAATCCTTCAATATTTAACTAAAATACTGAAATTTTTTGGTAAAAGTCACCTGTGAGTTTAGTGAACTAGGAAGGAGTTTAGTGAAAAGAGACTTAAAGGGAGATTTTCAAGGATCGAGACCATCATATCAAGTATCATATTATATCATACAGAGACGGCGGAGCGCAATTTCAACTGGGGGAGGGGCTCTTATTTTTCTTTGCAAAGTTACTGCGCGCGAAACCTAAGCACCCGTTATAAATAGCGTCGTGGTTTGCAATTGCGCTGGATGAGATAAGAACTAGACGGATTTTAAGAGAAAAGGCGGACTGCAAGCAGTCTATCAACATTCTCAATGAGATATTTCTCTAAAAAAACTCAACCTGGATAAGGTGTAAAATGACAGGTACTTGTAGTGTTTTCAGCGTGTACCTCATACTTAAACAAAAACATTTTTCCTCTAGAAAAGTGGGGAGTCGGGGGGAGGGGCTAACCCCGCCCAGCCCCCCGGCTCCGCCGTCCCTGTCATATCATGTAAAATGTTTACGCAATCAAAAACAATGCTGCAAGTTTAATGCTTGTTTCTACCATGGATAATGGAAAGACCCGGTCTTTCTATTATCCATGTTTCTACAGACCGGTTCTAAAGTTCCTTCTCGTTTAAAAATAATCGAAACCGAACTGAATAGTTCAGATTCACAGATGAACTGTTGACTAAGTCGGGGAGGTCTGTCGGATTGTGCAGTCGACAAAATTTTGAGCGTAATACGATATTGTCAGCGTTAGGCATAATGCCTAATAATACTTATACTGTACAGTCTGTACAGTTAGCACAATCAGATGTTTCAGTTTTGACTACTCTATGCTTATACTCCATTTTTACGAGTATAATCCTAGAGCACTCTTTGCGTAAGTCACGATTGCTTTTAGCCTTACTCCTGACTCGTTAGAACTGGCATGTGTTTCAGACGCTTAACACCAAGTGTAAGACATTCACGCTATAAACAAGGAAATCATCAAGGGGAATATCAGGAAAAACAGCGCGGTTAATGTACCAACATATATTGTTGTAACGCACACATAAGAAACTTTACTGCACTGGCTTGCCACTATGAGCCTAAACAAGGCTCCCCCTTCCCGCAAAATGTTTCCAAGTTTTAGAAAATTACAAATCCCTCAATCTCCTCTATCTGTAATGTTTGAAAAGCAAGGCCCCTACCAGAAGTTCGTTAATTGCAAAAGCGTGTAAAATTAAAATTATTTAGGAATAAGGCGCCCAATTTCCTTTTGGAAATATTCGCTGAAAAGCAATTAGTACCGAGCGAAAGAGCTGCAACTAGACATAATTTTACATGGTCACGCCAAGGGATTTCCGTCCACAAACTCAAAGATTGGAGCCACTTTGCACACTCTCTTTTATGGAACACTATGAAATGATACTGTTTCATCATTAGAAAAAACGAATAAAATCGCCAGATTTAGCTGATTCAAAATAGTTATATCTTCTCAAGGAAAATTGTTCATAAATATTTCCCATCACTTGTGGCCGACGTTTTCAAGTGCTAGTCCCATTCCTAATTTTTAAGCATTTTTTAAAGAAAAAAACTAAATAATTTTGTACAAACAAAAACTGTATATGATAGGGCGTGGCTTGTTTTCACTGTGTTTGTGAGCCAAGTTTCACAGTGCTTGTGAGCCTAGTTTAGTCGCTTGCGAAAGATTCGATTATCAAAGATGGCAGTGCTTTTGCACTTTAGAAAATCAAGGGTACCAGGTCGATCGCGTCGTTGTCTTTTTGATTATCTTCGAACCTGATTGGTTCTGAGCAGCCGTCACCTATTCTAATTATTTCCAGATGCAGCAGCAGAAATCTCCGATATCGATTTTCAGGTTTATAGAATAAGCTACTTGTAATGGGACAGGTAAAAAAGCAAATTTTACTAGGCAATGGCCGTATTTATGCTAGAGGACGTCTAAGAAGTCTTAGACGACTTAAATACGGCAAATAAGGCAGACGCATTAAAAGTCAGACGAATAAAACCCAAGGTAGGCGCGTACGAGGTGGGGCTCGAGGGGTTCGAATGAATCCCCTTTGCAGGTAAATGATGGAGGACTAGAAACACAA